TGGGCTAGTTCAGACCAGTTTAAATTAAGAGGAACCAAACTGGTCAGGAAGAGCTTGAATGGAATCAAATTTTTTTCCAATTCAAAATTGGCTCTAATAGAGTCAAGGGGATTAAGATATTTCAAGCTGTACCAATCCATTTCCAGGTGGAATAGATAACCATGAACCAGGCAAGCTGGCTCTGATCAGCTTGAACAAGACAGGCTAAATTCTGTACAGTTGAATTGGAATCAAACTTTACCAATCTAGGTTAATTTTTTAGCTGTCTGAAAATACAAAATATTGCTTTAAAAACTATTGTCACTCCATGCTTGTGTCAGGGTGGTAGAAGACTCTGAGTTGACTGCTAGTGTTTCATTTTCATATTTTTCTTTATTGCTAACAGAACTGCTGATATGGTTGTGGGCATCAGTGTATCCAGCTAACACAAAACAACAAACAGACAAAAAACCCACATTTTCTAGTTTTTTTCTGAAAAGAAATGTGGCAAATGGGGTGAGTGTGTGTGTGAGGGGGGGAGTTGGGATATGAGGAATTCCTTTCTATTTCTTCCTGCCTGGAACGTGGTAGAGATGACTGGGACCACAGGGTTACAACCATGAGTTAAACTTGATGATTTTCATTAATCTCTAAGGATGGCAGAGCAACAATACAGGAGGACGCCCCGGGTCCCTGATTACGTGGTGGAGGTACCATCCATTGCTTTAAAAGTTGTCAATGCCCCTCCCAAGTCTCAGCACTCACCAGTCCTGCTGCAGGCTTTAGTTGCAAGCATCTGCACTCCCTGGGCAAAGGTTTCCTAGGGCCATGAAAGTATGGTCGGGATTGCCAGGGAGCTAATGTCCTTGGGATCTGACATCAATCAATTTATCCACCAATGGATTAATACCCCATCTTCCTCAGCCCTCTTAGATGAGACATCTATAAAGTATGCTATATGTTGTATATAGGTACGTATGCCTTATAGATGAGACATATATAATAAGGTATGTTTTACACCCTTTCCCAGATTTCATGAACAGGATTGAGCCTCAGTTGTTCCCGACACTAATTTGCTCACTAATAATCTGCTGGTTTTCTTTCTTTCCCTCACTTCACCACTCTAAATAAAGTTTCTCAGTATCACCAAACAAATAGGATACTTCTCTCAAATCCTTCTCTCATATCTGCCTGTGGGGTAACCAAATGTAAGATACCATCTCTGGATTGTTTATCTTGGGACTTCTTTTGAAAAAAGAAAAGTAAACTCCTTTATTTATTTTTTTATTTATTTAGAGGCAGAGTCTCACTCTGTTGCCTGGGCTAGAGTGCCGTGGCATCAGCCTAGCTCCAGCAACCTCAAACTCCTGGGCTCAAGCAACTCTGCCTCAGCCTCCCAAGTAGTTGGGATGACAGGCATGCACCACCATGCCCGGCTAGTTTTTTCTATATATTTTTGGTTTGCCATTTAATTTCTTTCTATTTTTAGTACAGATGGGGTCTCACTCTTGCTCAGGCTGGTTTTAAACTCCTGACCTTGAGCAATCCTTCTGCCTTGGCCTCCCAGAGTGCTAGGATTACAGGCGTGAGCCACCACTCCTGGCCGTAAACTCCTTTATTAAACCACAGTAATTTGAGTATTCTGTTACATGCTGTTAGACCTCATCCTATTTAACCTGATCCAATTAATAATACAATAATTTCTTAAACTTAAATCTCTTTATTGTTACTAGACCTTTTCCACTGAAGAAGCATTATTAAAAATCAAAAAGTCAGAAGAGGAATTTAACGGTTTTTTGATTGAATAAAGTCTGATGACTACTAGAAGAATTATTAAAAACTATCTTCTAAATGCTTACTTTTAGCAAATAAAATTTCAACAAATAAATGGCCTGTACATTCCCAACTGTAGTAAATTTTAGTTCTTACTTGACCCATCCACAGCATTTGATAGAGTTGATCTCTTCTTCCTTTCTGAAACATGTTTATTTAATTGGCCTTTGGGCAAACACTCTCTCTCTTGGTTTTTCCTTTGTCTCATTGGCTGCTGTTTTTCAGGTTCCTTTGCTGGTCTCTCATCCTGAGCTGGTATCCCAAGGCTCAGTTCTTGGCCTGCTTCTCTTTTCTATCTAAAAGCACTCTCTACATGTCATCCAATCCCATAATTTGAAATAACATCCCTACACTGATGGATCGTAAATTTATATCTTTAGCTTCGATTTCCCCCCCTGAAGTTGAAATTCATAATTGACTTCTTATATATCATCTGTGGTTGGCTGACTTATAGATGGCTCAAATTTTACATGACTCAAACTAGGTAAAAACCACTCTTCTTGCAGTCCTCAATTCAGTAAATGACAACTCCTTTCTAATAATTGCCCATGCCCAAAATATATGGAACTAGCTTTAATTCCTCATTTCTCTTTCAGTGCTCCACTCCATCAGCCAACTCTATCAAATCTAACTCTAAATACCTCCAGAATCAGACTCCTTTTCACTACTTCCTCTATTACAACCCTAGTAACAACTGCCATAACTTCTTGCTTGAACTGTTTCAGTTGCCTCCTATTTGGTATCTCTGATCCACTCTTATCTCATGTACAACCAGTTCTCTAAACAGAAATCAGCATGATCCTGATTCAAACAAAAGTTGAATTATTGTCAATATCCTGTTCAAATTTTCTAATGTGTTCTCATCTAAGTCCCCATGTACAGAACCCTGTGTAACTGACTCCCAGGTACTATTTTCACTTCATCCTTTACAACTCACTCCATCATTTACTCTGTCCAGCCATACTTACCTCCATGTTGGTCCTTGGACCTACCACGAATGCAACTACTGAGGCCTCTGACTTACCCTACCTTCTAGATGTTCCCTAGCTACCCACATGCCTCTCTCTCTCACTTCCTGAAAGTCTCCACTCAAATGTCACCTAATAGAGGCCTTTCTTAACCAACTTTTCCACAGTAGCAAAGCTCAGCATACTGTCCCTTCCACACTCTATCCCTTTACTCTCATTAATTTTTCTTCAAAATACTTATCACCACCTGACTTGTTATATATTTATGTGCTAATTATCTATCTCTACTAGAATAAAAGCTTTCGAATAGTAAAGACTTTATCTATTTCATTCACTGCATATCACTAGCACCTAGATAATTGCCTTGAACATAGTAGAACAATATAAATATTTTAATATATGAATGCATTGTAAGCATCCTGTTATCAAAAAAAAAATTTTAACCATGCAGTGAAATACCCAATTGAGTATATACTGAACATTTCCAGAAAAAAACATTAGAATTTCAAAATGTCTGGTTTTCTTTTTTCATCAATCAAGGAGCTGCCATCTTTCATAAAAATGTACATCAGGAGCTGAGCTGTGGTTATTGAGTTTCTCATGGTTTGCCTAGTAAATGAAGAAAGACTAAACAAGAAACAAGTAGTTTAGACTTTACTATAACTGCTTTTTCCATTTTATTCAAGGTGTTTATTAAAAAACAGACAGCTTTCAACCTGCTTCCTCAACCATTGAGCTAAAATGACAACCGAGTCAGGTTCACTTCTACAATGTATTAGTGCAATCTAGTAAAGAGGGATGACAGAAAAAGAAAAGTCAATAATGCTAAGTATATTAATGTTACTTTTTATTTCACAAACTCAGATTATTGAAAACATCAATTTTAGTAACATTTTATGTAGACATTAAAACAAAAAGGCAACAAGAAATGCCAATCACACAATATAAATAGTTATTACCAGAAAATCATAAGTAATTCAGAGAAAGATTTAAATATTATTTGACTAATGAATATATTGAGAAACCAAGCACACTAAAATGAAAATATGCAATCAAAGCAAATAGCATACATCTACTTTTTGCTCTTCAAAATTTAAATAACATGAGTTAACAATGGAGTACAAAAAGGCTATTGAACATGCTAAGTCAAATACTTGAACACTCTTCAATCATTTACCTTTCAATGCAGAACTTTAATTATATTCCTAATCTTGTTGAACTCTGCACCCATACCTCTGAATTCTGTCGATTTCTTAGTCAAATAAAACTCTCCTAGAAATCTAGGACCAGAATCAGAGACAGAATTATAGTCATCCACTCCCTGGATAAATGGAGGAAACGTTTCCACTGAAAGGGCTCTGATTTCCAGATTCTTTGCCTTATATAAACCACTTAATGATCTACACTGACATTTTGAACTTGGGAAAGGGAATGTTGTACAACCCTGAACTTCATTCTAGGTATTCTCTACCAGGCAGAGAACAAGATAATAAATGGGCCCTCAAGCTAAAAGAGGAACACAGAAACATACAAGCATATATGTTTGTGTATGTAGATAAATTCACACACATACATACACATATATATATAAAACGTCCACTCCTAGCTAATAACACAAATGATTTTGGGAAGTGAATTAGGACTATTACTAATAGATTGAATGGGCCACACTACAAAGTGTTTGCCTTTTATCTCAATCTCTAATGTAGATACATTTGAATAGATAACTGTTAATTTTAACTTTTGAGATAAATATTCAGCCTGCATAAAATATACATCTTTATAAAATAAACATCTTATATAGTTTATTTTTTAAAAAGTAGCTTTGACCTCTTTCTGATGCCTTTAAATATTTGTGCAACAGATGCCATAATTATATTTTCCAAAGACTGGTTCAGGGGCTACTGAAATATTAGACATTCCTTTGCTGGCAAAACTTCAAAATGAGTACTCAGTTATTATAAAGTATTTCTTAAACTAGTGTTTCTCAGTTTTTACCCTGCATCAGAATCCCTGGGTGGGGGCGGGGGGCTGTTGCTAAAACACAGAATACTGCCCCCTTCCCAGAGGTTCTGATTCAGTTGGTCTGGGGTGGGGCCTGAGAACCTGCATGTTCAATAAGTACCCAGGTGATGTTGCTGCTGCTAATCCAGGGACCACACTTTGAGGACTACTGCTTTAATCTGGTAGTTTATATGGTCTTTAAAGAGCAAGGTAAGCTTAGAATCCAGGACCCATGAGGTACTGACTAAAACTGTCTTCAAGGCTGTGTCCTAGTGACAAACCTTGAGAAAACCAATTATTTTTACATCCTCCTTTATAACAATAACAGTGCCCAGGCAACTAAAGAGTAATACTTAACGCTACTGTTTAGCATTAATACTACTTGCTTGGCCTGGACTGGGAGTATTTTCTATTTCTCACCCGAAAGTTTGCAATCTACTACAGATTTCCTGGATTTGTAACTTTCCCCAGGACAGGATCTGTGCTTCTGGGGAACCAAAAGCCACAGCTACATGTCTCTGCCCAGTAAGTCTATCTCATCCAGGAGGAAGTCCATGTCCTCCCGGCTCACTTGGGGGCTGATCACCACCTGGCGGAAGAAGTTGACCTTCCCCCGATGAGGCTGGTAGCCCAGCATCAGGCTTCCTTTCTTCATCATCCTTTCCTTAATGGCTGGGGCCACCTGTACGGGGAGAGAAGGGGAGCAGGTGAAAGGCCAGACACCAAAGCATTCCGACCTCATTTCAACCAGCCACTTGGATGTTTCCTGGGCATCCACAGGTATAGATCCGTTTCTCACGTACACAAGGTTGACATTAATAATAATAATTTATTGAGAGTTTGTGGCATGTGAGTACTGATTCAAGTGCTAAAGACGTATTAATTCATTTAATCTTCATAACACCATGAAGGAGATACTACTATAATGCCCATTTATCAATGAACAGATTGAGGCACATGGAGATTAAATAAACATGTCAAGGTCCCATGCAGTCTCATCCCAAGCCCATACTCTGAAGTCTAAATCATCATGCAATGCTGCCTCATTAAAAACAAATCAAGGGTGCATAGAAGTCACAGTCGCAAAAGTTCAAATGTTACATTCCCAACTTTATCTTAACTGAAAAGCACTCCAATTCAGGTATCTTGAATTAAAAAAAAAAAAAAATCAGTCAAAGATGGAAAAAAGAAAACCTTGCAGTGTGTCTACCAAGAAAAAACTAATATGGATAATGCATATAGTTCTAGTTTGAAGACTAACATATTATTGGTTTCTTAATAGAAACCTATATTTTTCTGTCAATTACTGGGCTTTGAAAATATATGGCTAAAGTAAAGGCCCTAGAAAAAAGAGAAAGTTTGATATTATCCTCATATATGAAATATAAACACTGTCTTTTATTAAGATGTATAAATGTGCTAACAAAATTAGGGAGCCCATATTTTAAGGATTTATAGCTGACATAAGAAGTACAGGCCCTGATAATCCAAATGCACAAATTTCTCTAAGAGTTTAATGCTTGAAGAAACTAGTCCAATTTAAGAAGCACATGGAAAATTGGTCCATTTTCAAATCAGTAGTGTGACCAAGAGTTAGGCTGTAACCTTTCTAAACAGTGAAGTTAATTTTTGAAACACCAAGTTAAAAAGTTAAGAATGCATTTTTACTAGCTTGGAAATACAAGCAAAGCTTTTCCCATTTGAATTTTATTTTGACTCCAAATTTTTTTTTAGTACATCCTGTGTGGATATGTGGAAAGGGAATATAATCCTTGTCTTCTCAGAAGGAGGAGACTTAGCTCATCCAGAAGGGAGTAATTTGTATATAAATAACCCCAGGCAGAATGTGCTTTGAAAGCCCTTAGATGAGGGGCATTCATCTCAGTTCCCACAAGCCCCTCTCATAGTGTGACCATCCCACACCACTCTAGTTTTTGTACACGACTATGTTTTGTCAGATAGCCCCAGGAAGGCAAGCCAAACTACTTCATCTGACACTCAACACAATCTTGATCTGTCCCAAAGCTGATGGAAAAATTGGGTGTTTTAGATTTCTGGAGATATAATGTGTTGAACTTAACCTTCACTTAACCACAGTGCCTTCTCAAGGTATGTTCAAGGGTGATTTTAACTCAACACTTTTTTTCCACATGTGCTAATTTTAGAAGCCAAGTCTTGCAAAACCTGGACTACACCATGCCTACAAACAACAAAAACAGACAGCTATTCAGCTACATTACATCGCAGGCCTAGCAAAAGATTGGAGGTTTCTTTCTATATAACAAGAAGTGAAGAGAAAAATACATGAATGTAAAACGACATAGAAAAGGAAGATGAAATCAGAAGTCAAGTTAGTTTAAAAATGTGGGCCATCGGGTTCTATAAATTTATAGAAATGTGTCATATTTTATTCTGAGCTTTCCAGAGATTAGAAAAATAGGGTTAAGCAACACCCTCCATTGCTTTTGCAGAACTTATTGACAATGTCCAGTGGATGTTGAAAGCTGAAAGGTAGTAACACTCTTTGCTGTGCTTATACATATCTGCTTGAAACCCCTTCAATTCATATGGATCAGTTGACTTTTCCTCTAAAGCTGTCTATGCAAGTAGTATTTGTTATTAGAATAATAAAATGTAATAAAATAATATGTAAGCTAATGAAGTGTGAATGCCAAAAGAGAGTGTTTTTCATAAAAACTAAGTTGAATCCTTTGGAAAGACTAAATGAAGAGGGAGGGCTAATCACCATCACTATCAGATTAGGTGTTGTAAGAGAACTGTAAATGCTTTTAAAGCAAAATCTTCGGAGTCCAGACTGATTCTTCCCTCAGACTGCTACGCAGGTGTCTGAGAACTCACTCACTTGAAGAAATCCAAGCTGGATATGACAGATAATTCTTGAACAGTGTAGTTTATGCAAGAAAGTGGAGAGCAGTCTAATCATTATACCTCTACTCAAGAAAAGCCTTATTTTCAAAAAACATTTGGAAATCCTCACTTGATGAAAAAAAAAAAACAAAACCTTTTCCATCAAAAGATGGGGAAATAAATGTACGTAGATGTACAAATGTGATGTGAAAATATTTAAGTGTAAAAATACATATGTTAAATGTAAAAATATTTGGGTTATGAAGGCATTGTGATTTTTCTAGGACTACTTGCTTTAACTGGCCAACCCTTATCACATTAGGTAGAAAGGATTTTGTGTCATATGTGGATATAAATGGGTCTGTGTGGATGTACGTATGTGTGCCTGTGTGTATGCACATGTGTGTATGTGCACGTGTGTATGTGCACATGTGTGTATGTGCACATGGGAATGTGCACACACAGACAGTTTAAACTTCTAACCCATCATATGCCATTTTCTGCTCTTAAAATCTCCCTATTTGGTCACAGGGCAGTGCAGAACCATAGTCTGACCTAGGCTCATGACAAATGCACATTTTTAATTCAATGTAACCCGAAGCCATGAGAAACAAACCACAATAGAGTCAGTGGTAATCAATATTAGGAAGATCTAGTTCACATGAGCCAAATATCTGGCCAGAAGAGCCACAGACTATCAGTTTTAGAGTTTACTGCTTGTGGGTCTGGTGATACTATTTTTGAAATGAAAATCATTTCCTTCCTACTCATCTCCATTGTCCTCCAGGTACCAGGGTATAACTGGCTCTGGCTTATAGCCAATTTTACATTTAAAAGAGGCATGTTCTTGGCTCAAGTCTGATTTGCATAGTCTCTTCCTGTTTACTTTTCAATACCTCTATTTTTCACCCCAAAATTGAATTTTCTGCCTTACTTTTGGAGAGCATTAGAATTTTGATTCCAGCTTATAACGTGTCTGGGGTTCAAATGAGGCAATCATCATAAATGAATCTGTCAGGTTTGTATTGCTTGTGAGAAAATGAGAAATATTTTCTAATGTGAACAAGAAAGATAAAAGTAAGAGGGCACCTCGGATGTTTTAATAACGATTCTCTGGATGTTTAAATTCTTGCTCTTGTGTAAGGCACAAGAATGTGTTTCCATTGGGCAAAACACAGGGCATAGGAACCAAACTGCTAAGCCAAATTTTGTCCTTGACTTTCTGAGATTATAAAGAAATGACTGAATGTCTATGTGACTCAAGGAACTAGCTAACAGGGTTTGACAGTACAACAAACATTTGAGTTACGTATCCATGAACTATAAGATTAATTCCAGAGCCAGTTACTACTTGGCAAAACGGGAATATCTCCTTTGTCTATGGATATTTCACGGGAAAGAAAGCCATCAGCAACACCAAAGCTGATACTCATCAAATCTCTATCACAAATTATTATTGTAGTAGTAGCAATAGCTGCTGTTGTTATTGTTGACAAATATTTTGCCAATTCTTTACAATTTGCAATGTTTTTTCACATGTCTGATTCCCATAAACTCAAATTAAAGCTTATTTGGAAAGAACACATGTTTTGGCAATTTAGGGACCAAAAATGTTCTAATTAACAGTCAGCTTGCCACCTTTGCACTTAAAATATCAACTATTTTCTATTTATAAAGCTCCAGGCATAATCCAATGCTGGGTAATTTGTATTTCCTTTTTTTTTTTTTTTTTTTTTTTTTTGCTGATCACAGCAGACAAACAGTCCTAATCTGACAGGATGGAATAGTCACAGGGGAAAGAAAATATGCATGAACTAAATGCAAGTATCTGAATATTGCCCTTAAATGGAGCATGCATGGAGGAAAGCAATTTGGCAGGAGTGAGATTGCTTTCCAGCTCTCAATTATTTTACTGTTGGTTTTCCTTCAAATTGTAAATCAAATTCTTTTCTTGTGGCTCAGTGCACTGGGCCCTGCATCTTAAGTGGAGGAAGATCCTGACATTTCTATTTGGTTGCACAAAGACTTAATCTACACATTTCTGTAGGATTTCTGTCTCTCGCCCTTAAATTACTTTCCAGCAATGATTTAGTCATTTAAACAGAATTTTGTTGTCACACCATTGCAACACAAAATAGTATTTGATATTTAAAAGTTGCTTAAGCCCAAGGAAAAAAAATTAAAATGACTTTCTCTGGCCAAGTACAGCAATTTTATAAAAAGCAACTGACCAATCACTATCATAGCCTTTGATTAAAACAAAATGGGAATGTCCACAAAATGACATTTCTTTTTAAGAATGTATTACATACATAATGTTAACAAGAACACAGTTTTTTTTAAACATACAAAGTGTTTTTCAAACTAATTGTGAGTAAGAACCAGTTTTATGTTTTTCAATGCATTACAGACTAATACTTTTGTAAAATACAATACAAATTAATTAATAGAAAAATGAAATAAACCACAAAAATACGAACCTAATTTTGTTTTTCATTTTTAAATTCAAGAATAAAGTTAGTAATTTAAGCTGCTACAAAAGTTTCTAAACAGTAATTCTGGATTTCCATAGTTTTCTTATCATAGACTGCTAACACAGATGGGTAGGCATTGTCACTGTGGCTTGCTTCCAGTACAGTTTTTTCTGGAACAATCACAAAAGGCAACTTGCTTTATACTTTCTTCCCAAATAATCTGGGCTCCAAATATCCCTCCCCCTTCACGTTAACTTGAGGAGGGTTCTCCTGAGTAGGATATTAAAATCTAGTTTATGGAAAAAGTTAGCGGGAAATGTTCACACTTTGTACCTGGCAC